AAGTGTGTGTGCGCAGTAGAGTTCTAATGCACTTATTATGTACACATTATTTTGCCAACAGGGGAAAAAAATACCCCCATGTGCCACTAGAGGGAGCCGAAGTACCACTAGTGGTATGCACACCATAGCTTGAGAACCTCTGTTTATGAAGCGTTACATTGTTTTTGGTCATTTTGTTTGTGTTTAATTTATACAAATTATGTCAAAATATTGTTGATGTTCATCGTAAGGTGGTAATCTGTGTAACAATGCAACTTTCCAAAGCTTGGCTTGTGTAAACTACAAGGTCCTTACTAAGAACTACCAGGGATACCTGTGAACATTCAGTAATTGAATGTTTTTTGGTGTACTTGTACCATAGACGTGCACACATACATGTACAACTTCTACCTTCTAACCCCTGTCCATGTCACTTCACCTCAGAAGGAAATTGAATTGCGGAGTTGACCCTACCTGACACCAGGCAAGCCCCATTGATTTTTATTGAAACTTGAGCCATCAATACTGAAATTGCTTTTGATTTGTGGTGTGTCCGTCTCCAGCAGTTCACCTCTGAGTCCGATCGTCATTACAGTTATTTTGCTGCCATCATTTCAGTTGGCTGTGAAGGACCCCGATCCCTAATTTTGTACATATTTCATTTTATCATTTGGCAAAAATGTATTTATTCATGAATTAGTTATTGTTGTGGAGTCAGGAGCCATTATTATAAAAATATTATCTTTTTTTTTTATTATCTAATTTTTTTTGGACATTTCCCCATCCCACACAGTACTTAATTGTTGTCTGTATATTTAGCTAAATAGCTAATGCTAGGCTTATATTAAGCTTTTTGCTCATGACCATTATAAATGCTTATTTTGGACAATGAAGTGTTTACCAGTGAGACAAATATAGTTAAAAAAACAATTGCCCTTTGAACACAAAGTCATCAGGGAATCTGACAAAGTGTCAAAACCTATGGAAATGAACCCTCTAGAAAGAGAAATTCAGTTTCCTTAGAAATGATCTTTAAAGAAGAGTATTAAAAAAAAAAAGGGTCCAAAGAGCTGCAACAGAGAGTTCCAATTACAGCAGCATCTGAGCCACGAGGACACCAGGGAATAAATAAACTATATGGAGCTTTATGTGAAGCAGTGAAGACGCTCACTAATGGTTAGGACTGAATTTCAACAAGTGGGTGAAAAACAAAAACACAGATTTTTGTTATTAATGCAATTTCTATCTAGGTTAACATGAGCTGCAATGTTTACCAACTGACAAGCTCACACCATTACCTGACTGCTGAAATCCAGGGTACTAAGGCTGTGGTGGTGCATACTAATGCCCAGCCAAGAGCTCCCTACTGGGCTTAACTTGATCCTGATGCACCCTTGGATGGCTTAGCAAGTCTGGATTCCTTTTCTGTGGTTAACCTATAACACGTACACAAATACAGACACAGAGAGAGAGGGGGGAAGATAAATAGAGAAAACAGCTCGGTTATGTTTTATGAGTCTGAATTTGGCTTACAGCAACCAGCAGCAATTCACTATCACCACAAAACAAAGCACAATGACCTTTGTGTGTGTGTGTGTGTGTGTGTGTGTGTGTTGCTCTTGCTCGTTCTTCACAAAGCTGAAAGTCTATGAAACTGTCAGTGCTGCTTCTCCCTGGGACTTTCACTGTTTCCCAGCTCTAACACATGCTGATAGACACTCATATTTCCTATGGTAACAAGCGTGAAAATGGCCTCATAAATCCAGAGTGATTTTGCAGCGACCACATCAGTGGCCTAAAGGAGATGTATTATGTAAATAAAACAACACGCCATCATCACTAATACCAGCTTGCCACGAGATCATAAAGGCTCAGTGGGAGACCGCCGCTACAGTTTGATGAGGTGTGTTGTCACCTCTCCGTGTGTGCGCGTGAGTGTGTATTCGCTAAATCTTACAACAACCGTTCTTGGCTATAGGATTTGATATTTCATTGTAAGTTCCTATTTGTTTTGTTGGGGACAAACATACTTTGAAGCCATTTTTGACCTCCTTTAAAACATTTAACACCGTCCAACAACACAACACACTTCTATTTGTTTATCTGGCTAACTCTGTGGTAATCACCTTTTCTGTAACCGCTTTACATTTTCTTAAATGTTTGCTATTGTTATAAGTTGAATGCTTCTCGTAATCATGTTGGCTCATCTTTGCTGTATTCTACCATTGGTGTGTTTAGGTGAACTTGCTTTTGGACAACTTTTAGCTTGGGCTGAAATAATCTTAATGAAAACAAATTTGTAATGTTTAAGTTGTGGACATTTTTTTTTGGCTTTTCTTTATTTTAAATAACTAATAATTCATGATGCCAAACTTTGCTATATATAGTTTTGCATTTTTCTTTTTTGTCAGATCTAATAATGTTTGTGTGTGAAAAAACTAAGAGACCGAGAGTCTGAAATCATGGGTTTGTGCTTTATGTTGTGTATAAATGTTGCTCCAGCACACATTAAACAGCAGGTCCGTTATATGTTTGGGTGCGTATGCCGTTTATGTGAGGGACGTGAACAGGCGTGCGCGTGCACACTAACACACACTCACTGCTTGCCTAGCTGCAGCTACTGATGGATTGGCTGCACTCCTTTTGTGACAGACAAGCAATGGATGGAGAGCTGAGAAGATGAAGGAAAGAAAAGGATGAAGGGGTATATTTGTGTGTGTGTGTGTGTGTGATTGTGTGTGTCCCGGTGTGTGTATATTGGTAGGGAGAAGAAAAGAGCTGAGTGCAGTGATCTCGGTGCCAGGGAGGATCTTACATGGGGCCAAACAGATCATTTCCTCCTCAGCAGCACGTGTCATTTCCTCTAAACAAACAGCTCTTCTGTGGACAGGAGAGAAGCTGGAGACCTGCCCTGTCAATCTCCCTCACTCATCACCTCCATCTCCTGTCCTCTCTCTCTCCTCTGGCTGTGAGCATATATTTTTTGCCTGTAGATCAACAAACAAGAGAGTAGGTGTGGTGAAAGTTCTGTCTTCATAGTCCAGTATTGAGTCATGAACATTGGCTTTTTGCTTTATATTTAGTTGATTAATTATGGATTGACAGCAAACAAAAATCAATAAGTACTTTAAGGATTCATTGAGAATCATCAATCATGCGCAGGGTCTACTTTGTCATCATTCATCAGGTAAAGGGTGGTGTACTATGTTTTTGCAAATTCTGTGTGAAATGAGCCGTTGATGAGGTCGTTGTAATGTCATTTCTGACTAAGTTGACTCAAACGCTTGACTTAGAATAACCTTAGCTTATTGTAAATAGTGCTTCGACAAACAGGAGGCTATTTTTGTAAAATAAATATGTTTAGACTAGAAGTGCACTTAACTTAGAGGCTGGGAAATATGAACTGCATTTATAATACCCCCTGTAGGGTAGAGTGGGGCAGCTACATGCTATTTGTTTGTCACTGCTAACAATTTAGACATCCCTGGGGTCTAGCTATTACATACATTCAATTACTGAATAAGTTGATTCCATGTCAAGAGCTCATCACGTGTCCCTTTGGTTTCACTTTATTTTGTTTTTAGAGCTGTCAACTTTAAAAACACTGATGGAAATAATTGTTATTTACGGCCTAATATGAACATAAATACCACATATGCAATTGTGTCTGTGCTTTTATGTGGATGTGTTTGTAAAAAACGTCCATACCAGCGTGAGACCACCTGTCATTCCTGCAGTAAACAGCCATGTTAGGCATTGTGTCAGACATAATTTGTGTTTTCCTACGAGGAGTGTGTTGTGCGTACAAACCACCAATTATGCTCGCTCCTAATGACACACTTAAAGACGTAATTAGGCCTGTCTGTTCCACTGCTACACAAAGCCGTATCACACCGTACACCAATGCACTCTGTTTCAGAGAGAAGGTTCACATATGGAAGGGCAAAGATGTAGATGTGCATTTTAATGAACGTGATAATCATGCACGCTTAACGTATATATCCAAGATGACAAGAAAACAAATAAAACTGATTGGTAATGGATTTATGCACACGCTTCTCCGGAGAGTTCATGCTGCAGACAGTGAAGCATGTCACTAAAAAAATACAATCTGTGTGTAAGCCAACGAGTTCTAAGACAAAAACCCTTATTTGTGAAAATAATGCAGTCACTTATCTACATATTTAAGTGTACAATATTTCACAAATGGACTTGACATCATATAATTCTTTCTGTGTAGAATTCCCACCAGGTCATGAGCCCTCTGTCCTGCTTGACAAAGGACTGAGATGGAGTTCTTTTTTAATGTTCTTTCAGTTCAGTTCTTGGGGGAAAAAAAATCAGATTGAGCTGGATCAAAACTTTAAGTTTGTAACAAAGGTAACAAAGACATAATGATCGTACTTGTCCGAGATACATATCTAAAGGTTACTTGGATACTTGGCGTACCTTAGTTTATAAAATCAGACACCTGTTGCAATTACACCTGTCTTTGCACTTCTTGACCTACCTCCTTGGATTAAGTGTACTGTAGCACTATAACCGGCTGTCCCATTGGTTTGACTTTTAAAAGGTTGTCATAAATAATAAGTGATTATTTTGAGAAGATCCAGATTAGATGGATACATTACAGGGTGAGATATGAACGTATCAGAGATTGAGTGTTTGGAGCGTAAACCTAGAGGAGGTGAGGTGAAGATGGCCAGCACATGTGCTGAGCAGAGATAGTGGTCCAATCCATTAAGGTTAATAAGATCAGATCTCTAAATAGAGATTTCCTGATTACAGGCAAGGGGCTATTCGACATTACTGAGAATAACAAATCCAAAAGAATTAATGTTAGCAATAAACTGATTGGCTCTGATAAATGCAACCAAACTTGGAGTCTGGATTCTTGTGTGCAAAACGTTAAAGTTGTCTATTTCTACTGACAGGTGTTGTGTGTTTTTGCTTCACTGTAGATAAATGCAAAATGATTTTGTTCTGTCTTTTTGTCTTTTTCTTCTTTTTCTTTGTTGGAGCCTGCTACTGTATCTGGGTGAAAAAGAATTTGGAGTGACACATGTGGTCAAGCTCTGGGCCACAAAACCCAGACGAAGACTTCTACAGCAAAGATTGCACTGTGAGTATGTGGTACTGTGGGTTACAAACCAAGACAGTGGCTTAAAAGAAAGTATAACTAATATTTTAGCTAGGGAAAACCCTGATATTAATAATCATTGATTTTATTTTCTTATCTGACCATTTGTTTTTAGCATTTTCTCCCATTTAAGTCAATGTAGGCATAAATATTATTGTTTGAAACAGCCATAAATTACACAGCACTGAGGTCCTATGGGTGTTTAACATGCAGTATTACAGTATGTCCTTGCACGCACCAGGCTGTAGATACTTTATGCTTTTAGTTTGCTTCTTTCATCTCTTTTTCCCTCTGTCTAACCGGTCCAATAAAAATGTCACCAGCTTACAGGGCAACTAAAAAAAAAACCCAAAACAATAAATATGATCAAAATTAAGATATGATACCCTTGGAGATCACAGGCTAAAGTGCACAAACACACCAAATCATTACTTTAACAAGTGTGCCGGGGTGCTGAGAAACTAAGCTACAAGAGGAATGAGGCACAAGCCTTTGCCTGAACCTTGAGATATGAACAGTGTGTGTGTGTGTGTGTGTGTGTGTGTGTGTGTGTTTAGCAGCCCTCACTCTCTAGCTTCTGCTTAAGAATCCAGTCACATCTCTTGCTAGTAGGCAGGCAGTGAGGTGCTGTCACGTTTACAGGCTTGCTTTGGTTGAGAATGGTCAGATATAAATATATATACACACACACACACACAGAGACACACACACCCATATGTGTGTGTGTCTTCCTCCATATGTAGCTTATTCCTTTATTCTTTGTCTCCTCACTTTTTGTGTGACAGCTGTGTGTGTTATACGTGTGACAGTTATTTATGTGTGTGTGCGTGTGTGTGCGCGAGTGTGTGTGTGTATTGGCTCTTGGCAGAATTGATAAACCCACTTAGAGTCTCCCCTGATCTCTTTGCTCTGTGCTGGTAGCCCCTTGCCTCATCTCTCTGTCTCTCCCTCTCTCTGTCTCTCCCTCTCTCTGTCTCTCTCTCTCTCACCCTCTTTCTCTGTCTCTCACACACGTGCAAAGCCCCCTGCTTTTGCTGCTAGCTGATCTGTAACGGCCTGCCACTCAAACACGGCTCTGTTGAGACTGCACAAAGAAGAAGAAGAGGCTGGAAGTACAGGGAGGAAAAGAAAGGGTGGAGAGGGGGTGGTGGCATAGTGAGAAGTAGCAGCAAGGGAGGAAGGGTAGAGAGAGAGAGAGAGAGAGAGAGAGAGAGAGAGAGAGAGAGAGAGAGAGAAGGAGAGATGGTGAGAGATGGTGAGAGAGTATCAGTGTCTTTCTTAAGGGTGCCTGCGAGCTCCTGCTCCCTAGCTGCCTCCTTATCTCCCTACTCCTTACTCTCCTCCAACTGACTGTCTCAGGCAGCTGCTCTTCACTCCCCAACTCTACAACCCAGCACCACCCCACTTCATTACCCCCAAACCGACAGACACCCTCCTTGTTTCTCCCTCACACTGCCACATCTTCTCCTCACGTCTTTATTTCTCCTGTAGCTGACCGAATGTCAGCTCGTCTCCTCCTCATTTACTTCCCCAGACAAGGAGACTTAGCAAAGAGATGAAAGAGAAAAAGGCAAAGAAAACACAGGGAAAAAAGGACACAAACAAAGAGGGAGGAAAAAAGAAGAAAAAGAGATGGATAGAGGGGGAGGTGACAAGAAGACATCTGCGTAGACACACAACTCACAGAAATTGTAAGAATGGAGACATACGTGGAGAAGATTTTTTTTCTGAATAGGTAGTGAGGCTGAGGCAGAGAGGAAGAGCCGAACTCAGACCTACTCAGATTTTACGAGACTACGCTGTATCTCTAGGTTGCATCTAACAGTAAAAATCTATGATCAGCAGCTCATGCTGTGCTGTGTCTGAATCTCTCCAGCAGACCCAAACACACAGTCATAACTACAGCAATTCTATAAAGGATTTTGTCAGCCTTGTTGGCCTTATACTTTTTGGTATACATATGCAGTAAATTTAACTTTAAATGTGATGTAATGTGTTTTCTTTATTCTGCATCTTTCTTGAATGACCACAGGAAAAAAAAGGAAGCCAACACTGTAAAGTCTAAATACTAGGGCTGTAAGAATGAACACATCATCTTTATAATCATTTACAAATTTAATCAGATTAAAACTTCTGTTTTATTTTAACGCATAGGTAGAATGACGCACACAGTATATCCCATAATTCCATCGTCCACCACTTATCATATATAAGTGGTGGACAGTTGATAGAAATGTTTTCATTGATGCACATTAATTTCATTTAGCACTATTTATTTCCTTGCCAAGTTTATGTATGCTAACTCGGACAGATAACTAGTATATTAAAAATTAAGAAAACAGATTCCTCTGATATTATTTGTCATTCAAAATCTGCATATTTTAGACGATGGGTATAAACAAGGCCCTCGGAGAAAATCTGTGTACACAGAAATGTGCAACCATGCCCCAATGCAGCCCCTGGCAAAGGCAAGAGGTTTCGATCAGCAAGCAGCAGTTTGGCTTTCATACAACCACTGATGCAATTGTTGCTTGAGAATTGCTGGTATACAGGGTGAAGGTCAAACGGGTGTGGATCTAGAAAAATACAGTGATACAGTGGCAAGACTACTTGTAGTAGCAATGAAGTACAGGCTGTGTGAGATATGTAAAATGACAGTGAAACAGTGGTATGGTTCAGTGTGATAGGTAGTTTGAGAGCCATGCAAGGTGAGCTCAGCAAGAATCTCTGGGGACAACGACGTAGAGATCTGCAGTGAGAGAAGTGGAGGTCTGCAGCAGGTACACAAGGAAGAACAGTGAAAGCACGGTAGTACAGATGGGTTCAAATAAAAGAGAAACAGGTGAAAAAGTGAAGGTGCATTGATGAGGTCAGTGGTTCTCAACCTATGGTCCACTTACCACTGGTGGTACCTGGGCTCGCTGTAGCAATGCACAGAGGAATTCCCATTAGACTGGATGTGTCACATGGTTGTTTGGGTGTGAGTGTGTGTAATTTCAGAATTGAATTTCATCATAATTGTATGGAGTGGTTTTGGCTGATAAAAGTTTAACAATTTTAATATATTTTTTTAGGTTGGTTTGTACATGGGCTGAGGACAAACAATGTTGGAGATTGAGGTTCCAGACAGAGGTAAATAGGAAGACGCAGAAAAAGATTTATTGATGATAAATCATTAAACAATGAAGGAAACGTTTAGTCAGAACAGGTGAGAGAAAAAGTTAGATTTTGTTTGCTGTTTTCAGTAGCTTACTCTCCCTCGTGACTAAACCAATCAGGTAATGTTTCAAGGGAGATTTTAAAATAAAAAAAGGGTGCTACTGACAGTAACAACCCTCCTTGCAACCCTGGGAAATCCACACCAAAACAGCTTCCGCCAATGTGTTTCATTAAGTTAATGATTGTGTCACAGTGAGAAAACAGCATGTGACAAAACAATCAGCGCGTTAGAAGCTGCGGCAGATTGGAGGGAGGAGGATAAAGATGCAGCGGAACAGAACGGGAAAAACGGAGGACGAGTGAGAATTGGGAAACAAATATCGACCCGTGATCCTGAGCAAGTCCAGACAAATGACAGCGGCAAAGTTGGAGATAAGGTTGAAGAAGACTAAAGAGACAAAGAAAGGAGTTTGTGGTGGAGAAAAGAGTGTGCTCAGCATTATGGATCCATCGCCCTGGGTTAGTGAAGACAGAGAGAACTCTTCATCAGCACCTCCGTTGCTGCCGATATTGCTGAGTCATCATTACGCTGATACACAGCTGCGGGATTAAAAAAAAGGACCTTCAATATCAGCACCTCCGTTATCACTCATCAGCCTTGTCACTACCACTGTACATGATAAAAGTCATCAGACAGAATCCAGATAAGTTCACAGTGAATTCAATTTAGATGAATGACACCGTTGGTGGGGTTAATCCCCTTTTAACTGTTCCTTCCAAGGCCTAATGAGAAATGTTGGGGCTTTCGGGCATTTTTCCCAGTGCCAGCCTCACACCTGCCCCCGGCAAAAACATTATAACTATGCAAAACTCTCTTTTTACTTTTTGCAGGCTCCCTCTCCTTCCTTGTTTCCTCTTTCCCTCTCTCAGTTTTTAATTAAACAGAAGCAGGGGGCTGCAAAAAACCTGCTACTAATTACACAGCCGCTGCCTCTCTCCTGCTCTGTCCCTGCCTCTCTCGCTCTCTCCCTGCTCTTTCTTCTGTTTGCTTGTTCCTCTCCCTCCGTTCCTCTGTCTCCCTGAGCTGAACTGGAGCTCTGCCAACAGCCTGTGGAATCACTTACCAGCTTTCACAATGGGAGGAGAGAACGTGAGCTCGTTGGAGTCCACACACACAAATGTGAGTAAACTGCATGCACACATACGCTTTGGCACAAATGTGTGCAATCACAGATGCTGAGCAAAATGTTTGGAAGTCAAAGTGCTAAATGCAGACTCACAAAAGTCCACAGATATAGGTCAGGCTCAAGACATCCTGACTTACTCCTGCATATCCACTGAGCACCTCTGCCTTCACTCTGTGTGTGTGTGTGTGTGTGTGTGTGTCTGTGGCTGGTGTAGGGGTTGGAATGCAAAGATAGGTTAACCAGCTCTCTAATGAGAGTGAACACTAATCATATTTCACACTGACAGACACACAATCACAACATCTGTATCCACTGACTCCCACCCTGTCATTTTTCTCCATCCTCCTCTCTGGTGAACATTCCTTCTTCCCTCTCCTCCATGTTATAGTGTACCCCACCTCAATTCCTCTGCTTCCCCTCCATCCTTTCTATCACACACAAGACTTGGGAGCTCTCTATCACTCCCCTATTTTCCTGATTGCTCTCTTCTGTCTCTTTTATTTTCTCCTTTTTGGAGCGATCAAGCATGGAAAGGCTGAAAAGACAGAGAACGCTAAAGACGTTTGGCTCGTGCCTCCATCAACCAAGTTTCCTTCTTTCTCTGCCTCTCTCCGTTTTCTTTTCTTTCTGTTCCTTGTTTCATTCTTGCTGTGAGTGCCTTCTCTTATTCAAGCTTTTGCTTCAAGCAGGGTTTCTGGTGGACTGTAATTTAACAACCTGCAGCCCAATCCATCACACAGACAATCTGCACACACTGCCGCTATGCATCACCTGCAGGCCGTGTGTGTGTGCGTGCAATTTTGTCAGGAGGTGTATTTGACGAGTAGATTGTACGTAAATCAGTGGAATGCTAGATGAGAAAAATTGACGGGAAAGTGAAAGATTTAGGTATAAGACAATTGGGGAGTCACATTCACTGAGGAAATGCACAATAACAGCTCTGAGCTGTGTCTGACAGAGTAGGGAGTGATAAAACAGCAGCGCTGAGCTTGATAACAGGCAGTAAAGGCAGCAGATATAGAGCGATGTAGCTTTATAGCTAAAGTAGCTGGACAGCAGGAGTGGGCGGGACGTGGGAGCCCCCTCTGCTGCAATCAAGTCGCTGTCACCATCTGGACGCCATTTTAAAACCATCAGCTCTGGCTTCTCATGTAAACAAGGGCACGACCCCAGACATGCTTCCCTCACTAAATTGTTTTTTTTTTTTTTTTTCCTGGCAGCTGCAGACCCCAAAATGGCTGACTTTATGGGGTAAAAACAGGAGCCAGAATGGCTGACCTACTGTACTACACAGGAGGCCATTCTGTTCCTCATTATCCCAGCATTTCTCACTGTGAACAAAATATGTTGTGTTGATATCCATCCAAAATTAGCCAAGCTTCAGCACTTGACTTTAAGTAGAAATGGATATACTGTTTCAGTTGGATATGAAATTCTAAGAATAAAAGGAAAACAATAATCATTATCATTGAACCATAATGTATAGAGATAACATAAAATATTGAAAATTAAAATACAATCTTACTTTATAATCATTGTTTTGTCCAGGTTAATTCTTCTTAATTCAAATATTTGCTATCTTTCTAAATCTTAACTGAATATGTCTTAGAAAGCAATCAAAGCATAAATATCTGAGTCAACGCTGCCCCTGTTGGATTCCAGCACCAATTGTAAAATCTGTTTTTGTGTTAGCTGTACAGCCCTGACATCAAAATAAACCTTTAATCACACTGTATTTAAAATATTCTGTGTTCTGCAATTTTGTTTTTAGTGACATAACTTATACAATGTCTCCTCCTGTGACCTGCTGATTCAACCCCTTCCCCATCTCTGACTTCCACTTTTTTAAGCTACTATTCCCTTAGTCACTATTATTGTTCTTCAAGTAATATTTCCAGCAGTGATCACTATTTTTTAATTTAATGAAAACCCCTGCCATGCTACTATTTGGCAGCTTTATTGAGCGTAGATTCATGGACTTGAATATCTTTAGTTTTCTTTCACTCCACTACTTTTTCTGACAATAAAATGATTTTGGCAACAAAACTATTATCTCTCCTAGTGTACAATAGCCTCTTTATCAGAATTATCAGAATTAAAGCTTAATACATTTCCCCCGACATGTTTATTCAAAATGGAATTTAGGTTATCAAAAACATAAAAAAATAAGAGAATTATGATGTTCTTACATGGATATGGGACAGAGATGGAGAGATGGAGTCTGTGACAGAGAAAAACAGAGGGAGCACGTCAGAGGGATGTGTGTATTCCTGTGGGAGAACTGCACGTGTATGTTTCTGTGTGTGAGACTCAACTTTCTGACACACACATGCGTGTGCGCACAGAGACAGACACATATCGGCAACTGCTGCAAGATAATGACATGGTAATGATATGGTAATGATATGGTAATCTGGCAACATTATTCTTCCCACCAGAGACTGGGTGGGAGAGGAACCTGCCACAAACTACCTCTCACAAACACACACACACACACACACACACTCAAACACACATGAAAATAAGTGGAGAAGTATGACATGATATAGCTTAAAAACATACACACAGATAGACACCACTGCCTTTAAACACCACTTCAGGGTGTTTAAAAGTGAAAAGAAAAATACAAATTACTGTCATTTTACAGATTTACTACTTAAGGGCTACATACAGGATTCCCTTGAGAGTTTGTCAGCTGTGATTACCATTATGTAAACTCCTCCTGCCAAGTGATAAGGTCTACGTATTGAACTTATCATTCTCTGCCATGGCAGAGAACTCTGCCATGCAGGTCAAAAACAAAAGTGACCCTGCGATATATCGACGACAAATTCTCCAGCAATACAAAAGTACAAAGATTCGAGTCTATCCAACAAAGGTGCTGCTTTGTTTTGAGGCTGATAGAGAACACCGCGGCTTTTAATTTTATGCCCAACATAATTATATCAGTCTGAGTAGGCACATAAAACAGAGGACTATTAATAGACATTTTATTGCCCGAGCTATATTTTTTTACACTGAATACAACACTGCCGCCCTCTGGATAATCATATACACTGCAGTATTCAATATGAAGTGTATATTGGAGGAACATTAAGGAAAATTTCTATTAAAAAAAGGTATACATTACAGTTAATACATTAGATTTTCATGTGTAGTGTAGCGTTAGTTCATTTATAGACTTTAATATTTTATTATATAATATTAAAATATTAAAGTCTATAAATGAACTTGAAGATATATTTCTAACACAAATATGTTTGTGTTAGAAGTGTATCTTCACAATAATAATAAAAATAACAGAATATTGATTGTACTGTATATTATTTGACTGAATGACAACTGACTAAAATGTATTTTTCCCAGGATTTTTTTAATATCTTGTAGGTAAAGCATAGTCTCCATACCTAGATCAGGGAAGGTCTTGGTCAAGTTGGAGGACTTTTATTTTATATAACAATTTTATTGCACCAGTCAACTTATCTGTAGCTGTTATCATTAAATAATGAGTTTAGTTATCATTTCAGACATATTTTGATTTCTGACATTTCAGTCAAATAATATACAGTACACTTTCTGAAATACATTATGTCTATTTTGTTTATGGAGCACAGACCTAAGTAACATCTGAGTGACAGTTAAAAAACAAATATAAAATACTCTATTCAAAGGTAAACTACAGGCTTGAAAGCAACATCCTAATTCTTTGTTTCTTTACTCTCTGGTTTTCTCTCTGCCTTCCTCCCCGATTGCCAGTGTTTCCCTCCACTCCCATTTAAGTGGCTGTGATTGACAGGTGGGCTATATCCATGCAATATCACTCAGCGCACGTTCCTATTCCCTCCTGGAGCCTTCATCCGCCGGTCAAATTAACCTTCCGTGCCAATGGGAGGGGGCCCTGCGTGGGCCAATCAGCAGGTGATTAGGCCGTGGGTGGGAGGGGTGAGGGGTCACTGCGATGAGGCCATCGCAAGCCTGATTGGTTTCAATCAGCGGTTAGTCGCAAGGACAGCTGGGAGCTGAGCTGCAGTGAGCACTAATCAACGCATCCCACAGTGAGGCATGAACAGTCTCACACACACACACAAAGTGGATTGATGTTGGCATACACAAACTGACAACATGGACATCACTGTGTACACTTTCACATCCAGGAAAGAAAAAACCATCAGAAGCGTAGACAAATATACACAGCAGGACACCGAGAGAAGAAATGAACAGTCAACAGCAAAAACAGACAATCCCATAATGCAAAGCCATATAAGACTAGTGAGAAACAGAGAGGAAAGAGACAAATAGAGATAGGGCAGAAAAAAAAGACATGCTCAAAGCCACTACAGAATCTCACAGTTAATAGAATAACTAATTGCATTGGATTCGTTAATTTGACCACTGTCACATCTGATAGGAACCCGTGACGTTAGTTTTCAATGCTCTGTCCTACAAGGCACAAAAACACATGAAATGTCATGTCCCCCATGCGGAACCATCCTGATTTTCTCCGCTTTGTCCAATGTCATGCTCACTTTGGTTCAGGCCTTGGTTAAGGACAGCCTGGAACAATCACACCTCAGATGACAGAAGAGATGACACAAACACTGTATCCTGTCATTTTAAGTCCTGTTTATGACAGCATTCATCCATTCTTTAAGAGCTGTCCATAGGAAGTTTTTTGAAATCTGATATGACTTTGACATTTTCAGTCCCCATGAGTCCAGCAAGAGTTGGTTAAAGAGTAATGTTTTAAAAACTGTGTTCACAAAATTATTCAACTGAGTTTTGTCTCAGATACTTTTTTGTAATTGGTATTTCAATGGTCCTGCACAATATACTTCAGTTTGGCCTGACTGACAGAACAGACTCATGTACAGCAATGCCATTTTTCCTTTCAAGAAATAACAATGAAACCAATAAATGGTCTGGATTTGGCCATTTGGCGGAGGGACACAGCTGAGATAAATAATCTAAATTTTATGGTCCCACAGTGACTGGCTGCACTGATTTGTATTTTTAAATCATTTGTTCTATGAGAGTAGATGTTCTGTAGGATTATAGTGTGTAAATAAAGTCCAGGGGAGTGTTAACGCAAAGGCTGTGAATGTATAAACATGGAAAAGGTTGGACAACATTCTACAAATCTATCTACAAAATGGGACTGCTGCAGAAAATAGAGGTTAGGCTCAATGTCATTGATAGAAATCTGTTTGTCCTTGGTGAGCAAGTCGAAAGTTTGAAATTATTTCATTGGCATATGAAGACATGAAGTTAAGAACTTCTGCTTGTTTTGATCAAAATCAATTCCTACTGAATTTTTTCCTGTATTTCATCAGCTTCAGGAGAGCCAATTACATCATCCATCATAGGTGATTCATTCTTAAAGACAAGGCATGCTTCGTCGTGATCACATCAAGCTTCGGCATTTGTAAAAGGACATTGGTACCTCATTATCCAGACTCTAGCTAAGTAATGCAATCTTCATTTGTTTAACACCCTAAACACTACCTTATTTTTAACCTTTTATTTTTGGCACTGACGACGGGTAAGTTTCTATCAGCAAATAATTTCCCACTTAAAAAATATGCTCACAGGAGAGAAGAGGAGGAGGAGGATGCAGATGGGCTCCACAGATGCTAGCACATCATGAGTATTCCACACTGCAAACAAATCTGACCCCAAAAACAATGGAAAACAGCCCTGGCCTACACTTGTAAATGTCAGCGGCATATTATTATACTTATCATGCCAACTCTGTATCTGGAACACCTGTCGATATTCAAGGAGGAGTAATCAGTCTCAGTGTCACACTGATGACACTGGAAGGAATTTGCAAACAAGACAACTCCGTAATCGTCCACTAAAAATAATGCAGAAAAGGTTTGGTCTTTTACTAGGTTTTAACGTGACATTAAAAAGAAAGAGGATATTAAATTCTGTGTACTAATTTATGGTAGGGACACAAGTAGTACCAAACTTTTTGGTTTTAGAAAAGTCCCACAATACACCATCACAACAAAAACAAAGAAAATAACCCAAAATATATGTAATAAAATACAATTATCTTCCCATTATGCATGCATAGTGAATTAGAATGGTGCAAGTGTGAAGAAGGAAAATTAAAAAAATAGAAATGTCTACATACCCCTAATGCCATGGTACTTTTTCGTTTTGTGAAATAATTGTATTTATGCATGCTTAATACAGCTTAATTTGAAATAAAGCTATCTATATTCTCAAATTTGAATAATGTTGTAAAATAACTTTACTATATAAAGTTATACTGTAATAACTTGTTTTCAATATCATATTTTAGCCCACAACTGTAACCTGCTTTTTAACTTTGTGCACACGTGAAGTGAGTGGTCATCAACTTCGCACTTAATTTCATTCACTGAGAGAAGGGGAGGCTCCCTCGCCAGTGCGGCTGCGCACTGGAGCCATCTAGGGAGAAAGGAACTTGAGGCTGACTTCATCATACTTGAAGTTGTTACAGCACAGACGGAAGTTTACTTCTGCGAAGAAAACAGAAGTACGATCAGGTAGGAACAAAGAGACATTTAAGTCGTTCGCTGACAGTGAATGTTCTATTTTCAGAGGTTACTGTTCAACTTGTTTGTGTTTAAGCTAGACAAACTCTGTTGAAACTGTCTAAGTGTCTGTGTGGTACGCACGCCAGTTAGACTCTTCAATATTTTACGTTTAAACTCGTACGGTAAAAACAAATTCCTCTCCCTTATGCCGTCACGCGGTGTCAACATAACGAACAGCTGTCAAAGAGAGAGACGTGTCACTCTGGCGATAAATGCCTGCACTCGGAACCAGAAAAACATTATCTGAGAACATTGCTGTACATTTTTGTCAGCCGTAGAATTTTACATTACGGGTAAAGAAGACAGAAGTCAGCAGTGATGTAATATATTATGGCCCACAACTTTAGTTTCTCGTGACTTTGTCAGCGTGATTCATTGATTTCAGAGTTTGTGGGGTGTGAGTTCTCTGTCGATACGCGTGACCAGTTACATTCGACGTGGTTTCACTTATGGAAACTCAGTGTCGCAAACTGTTTTTTACCTCTGCCTTAGGCCCCAGTAGCAAAATTAAAAAACACTGACGTGATTCTGCTATACGCGCCGTGGGATACGTTCAACCACATCACAAGCCACAAGCATGTACGTTTCAGTACTTACATTTCATGTTAGATTCTACATAAACAAATGACGGTGAGTGAGTACTGTGTCTACTTTGAATTCATACTGAAAACAACAATGCTTGGTAATAATTGGTTGTGGAGGTTGTGGCAGTAAATGTTACTGTCTTCATACTGTATACCAAAAGAAGAGTAAATTCGCAAAGAAAGTCAAAAAAGATGGTTGCATAATGTTGACATAGCAGTTAGTCTTTTCCTTTCCTTTATAATTATTTCAGTAGTAGTTATTTTTATTCAATACATTTTGTGGCAGTTGGTATGTTGTTGTTCTGTTCTATTATAATTATTATTATGTTTTTAGCATTTTATTGCAACATTTGAACATTTAACATTTAGCTAAGATAATTCAATTGTTATTATTGATAATTACCATTATTAAATCAGCTTGAATTTAGTTTTTGATGCTCTGTTAGTGTTTTGTTTCTTGACATGTTTGAACTTTTATTGCAACAAAAAGTTATATCACATGAATGTTTTATTCTAGCATAAGTCCCCACAGTGAACAATTGTCAAGTTATTGCCTAATGGGAAAACAAAGCAGCTATACAGCACTGTGCAATCCACTTCTTACTTCTTACTGGGAATCTTGACTCTTCCCTTCAATATTTAACTCTGACACTTTCATTAAATAGGTTGCTGTTGCTGCTGGTGTCCATGTCTAAAGACAGCCTACAGGTTCCACTCCATTGATGGCCTCTCTGTGGTGGCTGTTTCCAAACAACACCAATCGTTTATACTTCATGGATAACGCCACATGCTTGAACTCCACACACAGCACAGTACTGCGTGGAGTCCCATTTGGAGGAGTCCCAGTCGTGCTGCTGCTCAATTTTTCTGTCTTTCTGGTAAAGTACCATTTTTCGGATATGATTCTAGTCAAACTATTGTTTGGTGATCCTTTATATTTGTTCTTCTTGTTGTCTTGTTTCAAGAACAGGAATAGTGTAAAAAGTAGCTTCGCAAACAGTTCTTTATGCTGGTTGTAAAGAGATTTTTCTTGTCATCTGCAGGTGTTGCTGATCATATTCTCAATCATCAGGAAGAAGTTCTGGGACCATGGGCGTATAGCACTAATCGCAGATGCAGACAGTGAAGGGTGAGTCTGAAAACAAACAGACAGACAAAGACCAAGGCCTGAGCTGGGTGTGGCAGACACACTTACAGCACTCTGTTTTCCAGCTTCCCTGAGACTGCACGCCATCGTCAGCATATTTCATCCATTGTGTCTATGGATGATGACTTGGAGTATGAGCAGGTGTGTAAAAGATGAACCATTGTTTTTTTTAGAGATGTTTTTTTTTTTGGATTGCGGGAAAAAATATTATCTTGTATAATCTTAATATTATACATTAACATTTTACTGGAATCAACCTTTTCCCTGCAGGGATTCTGCTCCTGGCTGCCTTACATCCTCAGAATGAAGTCAGTAACTTTAACTTTCATTGGTTGTTCTTTCTTAAGCAGTGCTTGGACCAAATCTGCTTTATCGGTCTCCATATGCACACAAGTCATATGTGTGTGTGCTGTGTAATTTTGTGTTTCAGTGAGGAAAAAATCAAAGCCAAATGTGGCATAGACGCGGTCCACTATCTGTCCTTTCAACGCCATGTGATCCTCTTGTTGCTGGTCACAACCCTTTTGTCACTGGGGGTCATATTACCGGTCAACATGAGTGGAGATCTGCTTGGTGTGTTCGCAATTGCAACTGTCTCTGGTCACAGCATGTACAATGATTAGGAACAAATCACTGGATGACATTCAGATCCCTTAAATATTACTCTATTTCCTGTTCCTTCTGAATTAAATTATAATTTTTCTCTTGTCCAGGTAATCAACCCAAAGATTTTGGCAGAACCACTTTGGGGAATCTTCAGAAGGGGTAGTTATTGCAAAAGATAATGAATTTAATAGTAATTGTGATGCAATACCTATCTGATTTTATGTATTCTTTAGAAACAATCTGTTATGGCTACACACGGTGTTTGCAGTCATCTACCTGATCCTGACCGTTATTCTACTCCGACATCATACATCACAAATGAAGTATCAATCCAGTGAGACAGTACGTTCCAAGGACTAGTTATACCAAAAATAATGTTTCTTAGTGTTGTGCTGTTTATTTATCTTGTTAGGATATTCCAGATATGAGATTTTATCCAGACTCATAATAATGACTGCTTTCTTGTCCTTTTACAGTAGGTTATTGAATAGTTAATTATTAACTAATTTCATGGTTAATCACTAACCTGCGATTTTACTTTCTCTTTCTAGACCAGAAACACATTATTTGTGTCCTCTGTCCCTAAAACAGCAACAGAAGAAGATGTGAAGACCCATTTCATGTTAGTGGACAAAACCAATGCATGCACAGTTTTACAGTGGTGTTTTAGGCAATTGATATACACAGGTTTGGAAGCTACTGTTTTATAAGAGTTTGCTGCTGAAGTTTAAAAAAATAAACTTCAGCAGCAAAAAAAGAACACACCCTTTGTGTTAAGACACTATGGTGTAACACCTTAATTAATGCTTCCTAAACCTGCTTAGCTCCTCACTGTCAATATTTTTTTTGTGCAGAGAGGCGTATCCTTCCTGTGAGGTGACTGCTGTGACACTGGGCTATAACGTGGCCAAGCTCATGCACCTCCATAAAGAAAAGTGAGAAAACATGCATTGTGGACATTTTTGTGTGGGTAGGAGTGGTGCTAAAAATTATTTAATTTTAAAACTGCAAACATTGCTTATTTACCTGTCTTATATATAATCTAATAAAGCTGTATGACACCTGAAAATCCCCAGAGATAATAGAGACCATATTTTTGACCGTATTTTTTTATGATTTAACTTGTTGAAGGTCAGGTTATTTTTTGGAGCACAAATTCACTGTGGACTTTTTCACATGTTTACTGTACTTTTCATTGTTTAAACAGTTGTGTATTGTGAAATGTGTGCATGGCAACAGAGGAAGTTTTGAAACATGACACATCATGTGTAATTTTAATTGTTTGACTATATTTAAACGAAGGTTATCATCTTTTTGTGTCCTCACCCCAGGGTACGAGCAGGTAAAAACCTGCGCTACTATGAGCGTGTCCTGGAGAAAACAGGACAACGTGAGCTGATCGACCCTCGTATGTGTGGTTGTCTCTGCTGCAACAATACTGAAAAGGTTCGATCAAAGTGACCTTTTTACCCACTGTCTGCATGTTTTTGTGTTCTAATGAATGGTTAAAAAAAAACATGATCAAACCAAATATAAAAAGGAGCTTTTAGATGAATATTTCCATTTTGACAATTCTGTCAGTTTGTGCATGACATATTCCGTTTAATTTTCCAGGTAGACGCTATTGCATATTTTCAAACTAAAGAGAAAGACCTGCTAGAAGAGGTGAGGCAGCAGGTGGAGTTGGTTCCACAACACTCCCTGGGAATTGCTTTTGTGACCCTGCAGAATGAGACAATGGCAAAGTAGTGAGTAGTTTGTGTATTAAGGCACATGTCTGTTTTAAATAATTAACAACCAAAACATATGTATTCAAAACACTCAGAAGTACATCATACACAACATGATTAAAACAAAAAAATGAGAAATGAGAACACACCAATTGTGAAATCCACAGAAACAATTGATGCGAATGGTGAAACATGCCAATAGAATGCAGTTCATCAAGTCAGCCCAGCAGGATGACACTGAAAACAGAATGGCATGTAGACAATTACAAGTACCATTGAAAAGTCGTCTCAAAATACCAAGCAAGAACAAGTCAAAGTGTTGTTATAAACCTCTCAGTAGTGATCATTTTTTAAATGCATTGATAGAATATTTGGGAATTTCTTTAAAAGAAAGTCATAAAAAATAAGTAATGAGTGCAAGACATGCTATGGTCCTCAATTTAAAAGTGCTGGGAC